AAGGTCAAAGAATAAAAACAAGAATAAATGAATGGAATGACTTTAAATTAAAAACTTCTGCACAGCAAAAGAAACAATTAGGAAGTGTGAAGAGAAATCTATAGAATGGGAGAAAACCTTTGCTAGATATTCTTTTTTTTTTTTTTTTGGTACCAGAGATTAAACCCAGGGGTGCTTAACCACTAAGCTACACCCCTAGCCCTTTTTATTTTTTATTTAGAGATGCGGTCTTGCTAAATTACTTAGGGCCTTGCTAAATGGTTGAGGCTGGATTTGAACTCACAATCCTCCTGCCTCAGCCTTCCAAGCTGCTGGGATTACAGGCATACACCAGTCAGTTTTTCTTTCAACAAGAAATTAATATTCAGAACATATAAAGAACTAAAAAAACTTAACACCAAAACAAACAAACAAAAAAAGAACAGCATACAAATAAATAAGCTAATTAACTAAACAGACTTTTCTGAAAAGAAGAAATGCAAATGGCCAACAAACACATGAAAAAATGTAAACATCCTTAGCAATCAGGGAAATGCAAATGAAAAACTATACTTATATTTCCTCTCACTCCAGTTAGAATGATAATCATAAAAAAATACAAATAACAATAAATGCTGGTGAGGATGTGGGGAAAAAGCTATACTTATGCATTGTTGGTGGGACTGTAAATTAGTACAACCACTTTGGAAAGCAGTATGGTAATTCCTCAAAAGACTAGGAATGGAACCACCATATGACCCAGCTATCCCACTCCATGGTATTTATCCAAAAGAATTAAAATCAGAGTACTACAGTGATACATACATTCCAATGTTTAGGGCAGCATAATTCACAATATCCAAATTATAGAACCAGTCTAAGTGTCCCTCAAGAGATGAATAGAAAAAGAAAATGTAATATATATAGACATAAGGAGTTTTACCTATCCATGAAGAAGAATGAAATCACCTCATCTGCTGGTAAATGGTTGGAAGTGAAACAAACAGGTGCTAAGTGAAACAAGCCAGATTCAGAAAACCAAGGGTTGAATGTTTTCTTTCATATGCAGAAACTAGGAATTTTTTAAAAAGGGGAATCATATGAAAAGAACAGTGGAATGAAGGAATGGAATTGTTGGGAGGGAAATGACAGAAAGGGGAAGAGGAGGATCTGTGGATGCAATTGACCAAATTTATGTTATGTGCACATAACAATAATGCATCAATTAAAAGATTAATTAGTAGAAGGAAGTCCAGTAGAGTAGTGGTAGGGGATGGGGGAAGGAGGAGGAGTGGGAAAAGGGGCAGTTCTGGGGATTGAAATGGAGCCAATTCTCTTATATGCATTCATGAATATGTCAAAATAAACCCCACAATTATGTAAAAGCATAACGCAATGAAGAATAAAAATAGAAAAGGAAAAAGTTATTTAAGGCATTCCTTCTTTTTATTTTGTCTTTATCTTGCATTTGATAAAATCTAAAGTTTAAGGTAATATATAAAGTAATAAGTTCATATCTAACTTTTTTTTTGTACCAGGGATTGAACTTAGGGGTACCCCAACACTGAGTCACACCCCAGTCCTATTTTGTATTTTATTTAGAGACAGGGTCTCACTGAGTTGCTTAGGGCCTGGCTAAGTTGCTGAGGCTGGCTTCAAACTTGGAATCCTCCTGTCTCAGCCTCCTGAGCTGCTGGGATTACAGACATGCACCACTGTGCCAGGTAATTCTTTTTTTATTAATACTTTTATTTTGTTTGTGTAGTTTTTTTTTTTTTTTAATGTGGTCCTGGGGATTGAACCCAGTGCCTCACCTGTGCTGGGTAAGCACTCTACCACTGAGCCACGACCCCACCTCTGGCCATTCTTAATCTTAAAGTTGAAATAGATTCTTCTTGTTTTCTTGCTTGCACTCATGTCCTTTGTGGATAACTGCAGTTCAAGTTCTTTAACTCAAGTTTTTGGGTTGTTGTGTTTTTTTCCCATTTCCTCCTCTTTCCTCTTCTTGTCAGGACTTGGGCATCTCTTACAGTGGTGAATGAATGGTCCCATCTTAGCCTTACCTACTTTTATTGAAATGCTTCTGATATTCGCTCTTGATAATGATGTTTGCAGATAGGAAATTATATCAACCTATTTGACATGTTTAATCATAAAATATTTTATTTGAGGATATGCTCTTATGATTTGTATTTACCAAAACTTAGATTTTCACCAGAAGAACATCTCAGGAAAACAGAGAATCCAGTAAGTCACATGGGCTTTGCTGTCAATCCCTTTTGCTTCAGACTGACCTCAGCATTTTTTGCTTCCTCCATGGGAGCCCTTGTCTGCCTCCAGGGATCACCAGACAGAAAAAAAAAAAAAGAGAGCCTCCACCAAACATTCTCATCTCTCTGGAGATGCTCATTAGAAAGTTGGGATTGCTTTTAGTAATTATTATGTAGGACAAAGTGTTTTCAAAATATCTTAAACCTCCCATGGGTGAAGTGTCATTGATGCTTCAGGTAAAATGATAATTGCACTCCTGCAGAGCGATGAATTCAAAGGATCACAAACTTTATATCTCAGAGCTGGCTGCTCCCTGCACACAGTCTGTCCTGACCATCACCCTGAGCCACGAGCCTGGCAGCAGGAAGATAGCAGGTGAGTTTTTATTTTGATCTGTAACAGAATCTGCAAGAGAAGGAAGTATGTTTCGAGACACAGTAAGCATTTCTATCTGGAAAAGGGTCTAGAAATTGAACCAATTCCAAGCCCAGGAAGAAAGGAGGAAATAATTACTGAGTCGTGGGCTAAAACGGTGGAGAAAGAAGGGAACTTCGAGAACATACGCTGGTTCCTGACAGTTCTTAATTTAACACAATCCTCTCTTTGTGGTTACTGGCTTTTGGTGTGTGAATCCACATAATTTATTTAAATTTGTATAATTTGGCTATCAAATTGCTGGATAGTTTATGTTTTCTATAAAAGTAAAGGACAACATTTCCAGAAACAGGAGAGGTATTTGTGTACATTTCTGTACTAATGTATTAGAAGTAGCTGATTGAATTATCTTCTATTCAGAAATTGTAAATATGGGATTTTCACCACTTCTGGGCATATTATATTCTTAATGGAAACAGTAACTGTGTGGTGACAACATATTTGGTATCTATTCATTACACTCAGACTATTTTTCTTTTTTTAATTTATTTTTATTTTTTAGCACTGGGGATTGACCCAAGGGATGCTTAACCTTTAAGCCACATCTTCAGCCCTTTTTATCTTTTGAGATAGGGTCTTGTTAATTTGCTTAGGTCCTCACTAAGTTGCTGAGGCTGGCCTTGAACCTGCGATCAGCCTGCCTCAGCTTCCCTAGTAGCTGGGATTACAGATATGCACCACCAGGCCCAGCTTATTTTTCTTGATGCCAAGGAAGGAGCATCAAGTAAGGGTTACTTGATGAACTTAAGGTTTTTTTTTTTAAGTTTTTTTAGTTGTTGATGGATCTTTATTTTTTTTATTTATATGTGGTGCTGAGAATAAAATTCAGTGCCTCATACATGTGAGGCAAACACTGCCACTGAGCCACAACCCCAGCCCTGAACTTAAGTTTTTATATTAGAAGAAAAAGACATCAGACTACAGCAGTTTTATGAATTGAATTATTTTGTGATTATTTTCTCTAGTTTCAAAAAATGTTCTAATGGACAGGTGCAGTGGCGCATGCCTGTAATCCAAGGAACTCAGGAGGCTGAGGCAGAAGGATCATAAGTTTGAGGTCAGAAGTAGCAACTTAGTGAGATCCTAAGCAACTTAATGAGATCCTGTCTCAAAATAAAAAATAAAAAGGACTGGGGATGGGGCTCAGTGGTTAAGTTCCCCTGGGTTCAATCCCCGGTACCAAAAATAAAAAAGACATTCTAATGCCATTCCCAGGCTCAATGCTTGTATTAGTACTATCTAAATGCATTTGTGAATAATTTTCAGAACCCCTGATTTTCTTTTCCATAATGGTTTCACATTTTAATATACTTAATAGTTCTGACATGAAAATAATTTTATCTGCTATTTTTACATTCACAAGTACTAATGCGCTGTATAATTTTTAAAAAATATTTATATTTTAATTTTAAGTGGATTTTTATTTTACATTTATGTGGTGCTGAGGAGCGAACTCAGTGCCTCAAGCATGCTAGGCGAGCGCTCTACCACTGAGCCACAACCCCCGCCCAATGCTCTGTATAATTAATGGTCATTTATTTTATCCTCTGTAATATAGCATCTCCTACTCAGTGTTTCATGTCCCCTTGCTTAGAACACAGTCATTTCATTGTGTGTTCCTTCTTGATGAAGACAGAATAAAGTCTCCTCTCTTAATTCCATCATGGAATCATTTATACATTCTGTAAATTCCATTCCCTCATTACAATTATTCATTCAGAATTATTCTAAAACTGCAGCCTCTATGTCATACTGGGAGCTCTAAATCATAATGGATATTTTTCTATAATATAAGCAATTAGATTTAAATGATAATAGCCACATTCACAATTTTTGTAAAAAGTAAAAAAAAATCATCTAAAAACAGATAAGTACAAACATTTAAAATGTATAAAGTATTAGAAAACGTAGCCACATTCAAGGTTTAGATAACACCCTGGTTAAGCACATTGTCAATTCCTGACTCTCCCTCTTACAGGGTGGTGGCTTAAGAAATGTCATTCATCTTACCTGTATCTAAAATCTCCACACTTATAGAGTGTGAATGATAGACACTTATTTCATAAAATTATTGTTTAAGTTATTTGTAAAATACTAATATAGTATATTTTTTAGTGGAGATACATACTACACATATGTATTTTTCTTTCTATAGGAAAGACTCTAGAGAAAATGGCTTTTGATAAGAAATATGGACTGAAGACAATACTAAGCAGGAAATATTGGATAACAGTTGCTCTAATAAAACAGACTTGATGTGCCCACGCAGAACCCTTTCACAGAAAATGGGAATATCAGTCACTGAAAAATGACATATGGCCTCCAGTAATTTTGCAATAGGAATGATCTTTTTATTCCAGACCATAGTGGGAATCCTGGGGAATTTCTTTCTTCTATACCATTATACTTATTTAGAACTCACCAGATACACAGTAAGGCCCACAGATTTGATTCTTAGGCACCTGACTGTAGCCAACTCCTTGGTCCTGCTCTCTAAGGGAGTTCCACAGACAATGGCTGCTTTTGGGTTGAAACATTTCCTCAATGATATTGGATGCAAACTTGTTTTTTATGTTCACAGAGTGGGCAGGGGTGTGTGCATTGGCAACACCTGTCTCTTGAGTATCTTCCAGGCCATCACGATCAGTCCCACGAACTCCTGGTGGGCAGAACTGAAACTTCAAACTCATAAATTCTTAGGCCCCTCCAATGTCCTGTGCTGGATCCTGAACCTGCTAGTAAGTATCATCATTCCTATGCGTGTGACTCATAAGTGGATCAACAAAAACAACACAAGAAAAATGGATTTGGGATACTGTTATGGGGTAGTTGACCACAGAATCACACATATATTACACAATATATTATTATCCTATGATGTATCTTGTGTGGGACTCATGATCTGGGCGAGTGGCTCCATGGTTTTCATCCTGTATAGGCATCAGCAGAGGGTCCAACACATTCACAGCACCAACCTGTCCCCCAGATCCTCCCCAGAGTCCAAAGTCACCCAGAACATCTTAGTCCTAGTGATCACTTTTGTATCATTTTACACCAGCTCCCACATCCTGATATTGTATACGGTTCTTTTTCATCGTCCTAGTTGGTGGCTGGTGAGCACCTCAGCACTGATCACAGCTTGTTTTCCAACAGTCAACCCCTTTGTTCTTATGATCCGTGACCACAGGATCCTTAGGGTCAGTTCTGCCTGCCTCAGAAGGAGTGCACCACTCCATACTCTGTTCACATAGAGGTACATTTTACGTGGTGCGTCTTGGTTTTCATAATATGCGGGCGTTCATTCTTTCATCGCAGGTGGTTAAACCCACATTATTGAGTAGTCACCTAAGAAAGAATGTATGAGCAACAAAGTGAGTCTACTTCTTAGGATTCATCACGTGGTAGGAACTAAATATTTTGCAAAGTGCTTTCAAAATTTTCATGATATTAAATGTTGCAGTGGAGCTGGGTGCAGTGGCTCATGCCTATAATCTCAGTGGCTTGGGAGGCTGAGGCAGGAGGATCACGAGTTCAAAGCCAGCCTCAGCAAAGACAAGATGCTAAGCAGCTCAGTAAGACCCTATCTCTAAATAAAATACAAAATAGGGCTAGGGATGGGGCTTTAGTGGTAAAATGCCTCTGAGTTCAATCCCAGGTACCAAAAAAAAAAAAAAAAAAAGTTGCAGTGGAGAAATTCAGAAGACAACATTTAATTTATAAAATGGGGCCTTTGATAATTTGGGGATAATGCAAAGCTTTTATGAGAATTTAACATTACAACCAACTAATTAAAAATGTTCTAGAATCAACTGGGAACACACATAAAAAGAACTGAATGAGGGGCTGGGGTTGTGGCTCAGCGGTAGAGCCCTGGCCTAGCACATGCAAGGTGCTGGGTTCGATCTTCAGCACCACCTAAAAATGAATAAATAAAAAATAAAAGTATTTTGTCCAACTACAACTAAGAAAAAAATTAAAATTAAAAAAAAAAAAACCCAAGAATTGAATGACAGAAAGGCCTGAGTGATAAACTCAGTCCAGAAAGTGAGAAGGACAATGAATGACTCAATAGCAAATGTCCTTTGATGGAGATGAAAGGGAAATCATGCATGAAACGCTGCAGGATCTCAAAGACCATGTCTTTTCAATGTACTTTAAAATGTATGTTGTTGTTTTTTTCCTGTGTTGAAGGAACGTAGTGTATTTCAAATTTTTTCAGATATAATAGACAAAATGACCTCAATGGAACAAAGTGAACATAAGAATCATATCAAGAGGTTTTAGTTAAAATTCAATTCACAGTTGATAAATATGAATGTTACAAAGGAACCAACCGGTTTCTGGAACCCTTTAAAAGTAGGCTATTCTTGGGCTGGGGCTGTAGCTCAGTGGCAGAGCACTTGCCTAGTGTGTATGAGGCACTGGGTTCCATCCTTAGCACCATGTAAAAATAAACAAATAAAATAAAGGCATTTTCTCCATCTACAACTACAAAAAATATTTTAAAAAGTAGGCTATTCTGTATTAAGCAATGATCCCAATTGGCCTGTTCAGGAGAAAGAAGGTAGGCCCCATATCTTGAGCTTTGGGAAATGAGTCTGTAGTGGAGGCTTTCATTATTTATAAAGAAGCAATGGACAAGATGTAAAAGGATGAGGCTCATAATTCCATTTTTTGTTGTTGTTCTTGTTGTTACAGATAGACACAATACCTTTATTTCACTTATTTATTTTTATGAGGTGCTGAGAATGGGACCCAGTGCCTTGCACTAGGCAAGTGCTCTACTACTGAACCACAACCCCAGCCCCTCATGATTCTGTTTTTTGTTTTTTTTTAAGCAGGAATAATTACTGCCAGGAAAGCCAAATAAATTATTTTTTCATTGCCATGAAAAACCTTAAAATAATTGTGTGTAGCTATTATAAACATTATATCCAAACTTTAAAACTAGGTCAATATAAATTATGTATTTGGATATGAAATTAGCATATATATGTAGACAAAATGATTGAGAAGTGTTTAATCTCAGAAATATAGGACATGCCAATAAGAAAATCAACTCATGGGGCTGGGGTTGTGGCTCGGTGGTATAGTGTTTGCCTAGTACGTGTGAGGCGTTGGGTTCGACTCTCAGCACCTCATGTAAATAAATAAATAAATAAAAATAAATGAAGGTCCATCAACAACTAATAAAAATATTTTTTAAAAATTTAAAAATATGGGCTGTGGATGTGGCTCAAGCGGTAGCGCGCTCGCCTGGCATGCGTGCGGCCCAGGTTCGATCCTCAGCACCACATACAAAACAGAGATGTTGTGTCCGCCGATAACTAAAAAATAAATATTAAAAAAAAAATAATAAAAATAAAAATTTAAAAATAATGGGCTGGGGATGTGGCTCAAGCGGTAATGTGCTTGCCTGGCATGTGCGGGGTGCTGGGTTTGATCCTCAGCACCACATAAAAATAAAATAAAGATGTTGTGTCCTCCGAAAACTAAAAAATAAATTTAAAAAATTAAAAAATAAAATGAGACAACTGAATTTACTGAGTAAATCATTTTATTCCCCAATATATATTTATAAGTAAATTAACTTAGAAAATCTAACAGAAAAAAAATTCAAGTAGTAATAATGATGAAACATCAAGATAGAGGGATAAATGACAAAAATGATCAGTAAGAATGTTAAAAAGTGCCCAGTAACCTTATTCATTAGGAAAATGCAAATCCAACCCATCATGAGATTTCACTTCCACCTCATACCCACTCAGATGACTGTACTTAAGACAGAGCATGGGGGCAGGAACGGTAGTAGAATGAATTGGACATTATTACCATATATGCATATATGATTACATGACTTGCCTAAGTCTACATCATGTTCAACCAGACAAATGAGAAGTTATACTCCATTTATGGATGATGTGTCAAAATGCATTCTACTGCCATGTATAACTAATTAGAACAAATTAACCGCCCCCCAAAAAAGAAGACAGATAATACCCAATATTGGTGAATATGTGAAGAAATTAGAATGTCCATGCAGTGCTAGTGAATTATAAAACATTACAGCCTGGCTAGGGATGTGGCTCAAGCGGTAGCGCGCTCGCCTGGCATGCGTGAGGCCCGGGTTCGATCCTCAGCACCACATACAAACAAAGTTGTTGTGTCTGCCGAAAACTAAAAAAAAAAAAAAAATATTAAAATTCATTCTCTCTCTCTCACTCTCTTTAAAAAAAAAAAACAACAACAACAACAAAAAAAACATTACAGCCACTTTGGAAAACATTTGGCAGTTCCTCAAAAGTTTAACTTAGAGTTATCATAGGTCCATCAATTCCATTTTATTTTTTATTAAAAAATAAAATGAGTAGTCTCATTTAATTTTTTAATTTTTTAAAATTTATTTTATTGTATACACACAATAGAAATAAAAGCAAATATTTAGGGGCTGGGGCTGTAGCTCAGTGGTACAGTGCTTGCCTTGCATGTATAGGCACTGGATTCAATCCTCAGCACCACATACAAATAAATAAATAAATAAATTGAAAAAAGCATATGTTTATATAGTAACTTGTGTATAAGTGTTCATAGAAGCATCATTTGTAATAGCAAAAAAAAAAAAGCGGAAATGGTCATCGGTGGAGGAACAGATAAACAATATGTGTATTTTTATACAATGGAATGTCATCAAGTCAAAAAAAGAACACAGCATGATACAGGCTTCAACATGGATCAACAGTGAATATGTGATGCTCAATTAAAAAAGAAACATAAGAGGTAATATAGCATATGGTTGTATTTATTTATTTTATAATTTTGATAAAGATTTAATCCATAACACATATTTATTTTTATTTCTTAAACTTAAATTTATTTAACTGATACATTAAAGAGTCCATATTAATGGGTACCATGTGATGTTACAACACAGGTATAATTCTTTTTTTTTTTTCTTCTAAGTTATTTATTTAAGCCATCTCTTGCCACAAAGGGATGGAAGATCAGTATAATGGTCATCATTTGATACAAGTAAGGTGAGATTAAGATTCCCTATACTGGGCTGGGGATGTGGCTCAAGCTGTAGCGCGCTCACCTGGCGTGAGCTCACCTGGTGTGGCAGCACCACATAAAAATAACATAAAGATGTTGTGTGTTGTGTCCACCGAAAACTAAAAAATAAATATTAAAAAATCCTCTCTTTCTCTCTCAAAAAAAAAAAAAAAAAAAAAATCCCCTACTTTGAAGAATAATGGTCCAAACCAGTGCTGTGGTCCCCAGTGCCTATTCATCTTCAGAGCCAGTTGGACATGGATTCACATGAGTGATATGGAATACAGTTTGGTTATCATCTCCCCAGGGAAAGGTCTTGGTTCTGATGCTGAGATGGAGATAGGCGATGGTCTTTGGTGCTCTCCATAGTGCGGCTTGAAAAAAGCATTCACCATGTCCCACCCCCTCCCCTGAGCTCCACCAGGTAGGTTAGGGACTTCCACGTGCTAGCTGAGTCCTGCTGGCGGTGGGCACTGCTCTACATAGGCCACCCCACCTGTGGGCAAGACCGACCTACCAGCTAGAAAGCCAGGACCCAGACACAGCCAACGCCACCATTTTGACCTGGATCATGCACAATTCGGTATCTGTATAATACTTAAATCAGGTTCAACAGATCTATCACCTCAAACATTTATCCTTTCTTTCTTTCTTTTTTGGTACTGGGGGTTGAATCCAGGGCCTCACTTGCTTCGCAAGGGCTCTACCACGGAACTACATCCCTACACCTTTTTTATTTGACTTTGAGACAGGGTTTTGAACTTGTCATCCTCCTGCTTCAGCCTCTTGAATAGCTGGGATTACAGGCATGTGCCACCACAGTCAGCACATTTATCTTTTCTTTTTTGACAAAAAATATTCAAAATTCTTCCACATCTTCAAAAGCACTTACTATCTTTACTCTTTGTGATCATAGTCATTCTTACTGGAGTGAGGTGATATCTCACCATGGTTTTGATCTGTCTTTCCTTGATGATTACTGATTTTAAGCATTTATTATGTATCCACTGGTCATTTGTAACTCCTTTTCTGGGTGTGGTCATTTGACCAGTTTCTGCCAATGGAAGAACACATCTGCTGTATGCCACTTCCAGATGCAGCCCATTTAGTCCTCCTCCCCCTCCTCCTCCCCTTCCTCCCCTTCCCCCTCCCCCTCCTCTTCTCCTTTTCCTGGACACAGATGGTGAGGAAGTCCTTAAGG